GTTCTCAAACATGACGTGTCACATAACCCCGAATACAAAAGCATTAGGCTGCCCACGCTTCTGAACCCTCCACTGTACACAGAACACACTACAATCCTGAGAGTTTTGAAATAACAATTCCCCTGTTGAAGTGAAACCAAAGCCACATGTTTGTTGTTTTTCTTCTCCACCAATCAGAGGCGAGGATGGCTGTTTCCTGTACGGGGTTTTTAACGGCTATGACGGCAGCAGAGTGGCCAGTTTTGCCTCCCAGTGTCTGACAGCTGAGCTACTGCTGGGACAGCTCAACTCCAGTCACACAGACAACGACGTCCGCAGGATTCTCACGCAGGTCTGCCTGTGGCTGTATTACATATAGAATGATTACAAACCAAGTAGTATGATGTGTTTATATTCTAGTTAGAGTGAAAAATAGACTTTTACCCAAATCACTTAAAATTCTCACTTCTAAAGTGCATAAAATGAGAAACACACAACATGATCTGATATCTATTACTCAGACCCAAAAGGCAAATGAGACGAGACATCTGTTTTAATAAGGCAGTAACAGTATACATTTTCAAAAAGTTCCCCCTGTAAGGCATTCATTCGTACATACAAAAAGAGATAGAAATAGTTGTGTGATAAAGGAAAAAAGAGCTTTACAGAAAGAAGTTGAACCCCTCCTTTAGGGATGGGAATCGAGAACCGGTGCCAAATTGTACAATCCGTTGGAATCGTATGTCTCAGAGTTTATTCATTCCTTTTATCAGTAACAGCATGTGTTTCTGACCGTGGCAAAACAATGACGTCAAACTGGCTGTTGGAAACGTGCAACAACAAGATACAGTCCAAAGTGTAGCCTCATTTCACAAAGAAACTCAAACAACTATGACTAATTCTACTATGTTCAGACTCAGAGATAATAAAACGGTTGCGTTGATGCTGAAAACCTGTTATGGCCTACTTTATTCCACACAGAAAACTGATCGGCAATCAAAAAGGAAATTGAAAAAAAGAATTGGACTGATAAGCACAATCAGTAATGGTATTAGTACAAATCTTACACATTCCCATCCCTAAGCTGCTTACTTTCTCACCTCTGCAAACCTAGACTATCTCTGTGTGAAGTTGGCACAAATGTTGCATTGTCGGTTTCGGAAAACTGCAGAAGTTGGAAGGCAGTGAGCTGTTTCAAAGTAAATCACATTTTAGTCAGACTCGTTTGTGGTTGTTGGATGCAAAACAGCATTCCATTGACAAGCTAACCTGATACTTACTGTTGTTCACATGCATTTCTACAACATTTCTACAGATTATGCTTTGCATTGATGTACTGTACAATCTGACCTGTATAGTTTTAGCATTGTGTCATCCAGATCCATGTTTTTGTCGTCGCAGGCCTTCGATGTGGTGGAGAAGAGCTACTTTGAGACGATAGATGATGCTCTGGCTGAGAAAGCCAACCTGTCCAACTACCTCCCACCACACAATGAGGTACACACACACACACACACACACACACATTCGCGCTCTGCAAACCATATTGACAGATTAAGCTGAAAATTGAAGAGAGGAGTTCTCTGTTGGTTTCCATAGCAACCGCCGATTTGGGTATTAGTGTGAGCTAATGCCCAGCCATTGGAGAATGAGCTTGTTATGTTCTAATTGGGCTCATCGGCCTGTTTCATTAGATAAGCCGGTCTCACTTTTCCTTCTCTGGATCCGGCTCTGCCCGCTCTTCTGCCTCCGCTTCTCCCCCCCTTCATCTTTTTGTCCTCGTCCCATATCTCCTCTTCTTTCAATCTCTGCTTTTCCCTACTTCACACAGTGTTATGTTCAGTTCTGACGTTGTAGGTGTTCTTGTAAGAGGATGTTAGTCACGTTTTGTTGCTCGAGTTGGTTAATTAAGAATATCAAGTCGCAATCTGCTTTCCTCCGTTCTCACACGTGTGTTGATCTCCTTCACGGTCACTATCTCCTGTGTTCTCACTCATCTCTTATCCCTTTTCATCTCACCTCCTACCTGTTTTCTTTTATTCCTCCTCCACCACTCCGCCCTCTTGCTTCCACTCGCCTTTCATCTCGTCTCATGTCTCTTGGTCAATACTATTTTATTTCTCACCTCCTTTTTTTTATCATTTGTCTCATTTCATCATTTATCATTGTCTTTTTTCCTTCAATCTGCCTACTCCTTCTGATTATTTCCTCTTTTCCTTTTTCTCCTCTCTCCCTCCTCCCTCCTCCCACACTTTCTTTCACTACTCCCCCTTCCTCCTCTCTTTCTCTGTCTTCCTCGTCTCCTCCCGGCTGGTCAGAATGTGTCATTCCACCATTCCTCTCAGAGTCAGAAGGTGCAGGACCGTCTGAAAGAGCTGGAGCAGGAGGTGTCAGGAGGAGCTACGGCCGTGGTGGCGCTGATCCTCAACAACAAGCTCTACATCGCCAACGTTGGTATGGACACACACACGCACACACACACGTTTACACAGGACGGAGTTGTCTTGATAGCCAAAGTCTGACTCTGACTCATTAAAAATGTTTGACAGAAACACTGCGCTTTAGTTGAACCTAATTTTTCAGCTCTGTAGTAGTGCTGTAAAATGTGGTTCCCAGCACAGAGCAGACAAAAGTAGATGATGACTGAAGAAACTGCTTTACACCAGTAGATGTCAGGCTTAAACTGGTTTTGGTTAAGGCCTTTTCACTCTTTGAAAATCCCAGTCACAGACTCTTTAATTAGACTGATTGAGGGTAGATAGGGACTTTTATAAATTCATATAGGCCATTTCCACCTGCTTCAGGGAAGATATTTCATTCTAACGGGCACTGAAAAGATCCTGAAACTCCAAATCTTAGATTTAGATCTCAAAACAGAGGTCCTGCCACCCATTTTAGGCCAATAAAACCCTTTTATGAAGTCTTCTATCTCTCTCATGCTCCTTTTGCTTCTCTACTAAGCAGACACAGGTGCTATTTTTAGTAGCATGTATGCTATTGCTCGATGCACAGCATCAGCTACAGGCAGAGCATGTAAGGGCTGGATTTGGGTTGGGCATGTATGCCTGAGGCTTATTTCACATCCTGTTACTGAAGTATCCGTTCAGCCTTTTATCTTGTTTGCTCATTTTATTTCACAACTTTCTGTAGAAGGGTGAGGTCAGCAGCAGCTACAAAGCAGTACTCTATGCTGTGAGGGATTCAATGTCTTGCTCAAGGGCACTTCTGCTGGGTGGATGGCCAGTGATGGGGGGGGGGTGGTAATTTGGTGAGGTGATGTAAGTACTAGGCCCCTACTGTAGATTTAATAATAATAATACATTTTATTTATAAGTGCTTTTCTAAATACTCATTTACATTTTAGAAATACTTTGATATTATGAGGAAGAGACATTTGTAACTTTTAAGGATTGTCCCATAGTGATGGGTCACCATGCTCAACCTTGTTAAACTAAACAATTCATACACAGTAAAAGGTGTTTAAATCACTTATTATAGAGCCAATAATAAGTAACCAGAGACCAAAGGTTACAGTGTTACAAAATATTCAGCTAAATATTTTTGTGGTCATGTGCTCTTACTCACACAAATCCACACATATAGATGCAGATCAACCAAAAGAAGGGTCGCAAAATGATTCCACATAACAATCTAGATTATTTTGATAAAGATTACTAAAAGTTTTGAAAAACCTTTACCAAAATCAGTAGGTCTCACATAGATGATGGAAGAAATGAAATGCTCCAACGGCAAACGTGTTTTAAAACTGTCCAGAAGGTTTATTTCTACAGAGAACCAGAAAATGGCTCCCACAAGTTGTTTTATGTGGGCTTCAGACAGATGTTGAAATCAAATTGAATCTCTTTATTCAAAACATACCTACAATGTTGGTCATTGTTTTTGAGCCACTGGTGCCAAATCAAGCTCCTACAGACAACAGCTGCAGGGGCATTA